ATAATTAATTTTTAAGTGATAGGACAATAATAATCATGAATATCATAAAAAACATATGAATAGAGTCGCAATATTTGCGGGCTTTTCATTTATTATTATCATTATCATTATTATTATTATTATTATTTATTTTTTTATTATAAATGTTTTTTAAGGTATTCATATCAGTAAAAAAAAACAAATCTATTTTATTTTATTATTAATTATTATCATTATTATTATTTTTTGATTGTTTGTTTGTTTGTTAATGATGATTACATATCTGTTCGTTGTTACCACGTTTATATAAATATACACTCGAAATTATTATTATTATTATCATTATAAAATTAATAATATATATATTATGGATACATAAATAGATTTAAATATATGTATATTTTTCGTTTGTTTTCGTTTATTATGAAAAAAATTATCATTATTATTATTTAAAAGGTTTTTTGTTTTAAGGTTAAAAAAAAAATATTTTTATTATTGTGATATCAAATAATAATAATAATAATGATAATTATAATCTGTTTTGTATTAACGAAAGGTATGTTTAATAATAATTATTACGTCACAAAACAAAGTTATTATTATTATTATCATTATTATTAAATAGTACTTAAATATATACGGTGAAACGTTTTTAGAAAAGGGAAGAAAAAAAAAGTGCCATTTCTCCATTAAAATTTTTAAACCAATTTATTACAAAAATTTTTGACAATAATAATAATAATAATAATAATAATTATGTAATATCGTTTTTATTTTTATTTTTTTTTTAAACAATAAATTTTTTATCGATTTTTTATAATTGTTAATAAATAATAATAATAATAATAATGGTAGTAAATATTTTGTTTACTTGAATTTATTAAAAGGGATGGGATGGAAAGGGAGGGAGGGGAGGGGAAGGGAAAACTGCAACAAATTATTTTGAAATTCTATTATTATCATTATTATTTTTTTTTCATTTTTGCAAAACAAAAATATCAATAATAATAATAATAATGATAACAGAATGAATTCATCGTTAACCGTTAATAATTTTTTAATTATTTTTAATCATTATTATTATTGTTATTGTTATTATTATTATTTATTTTTTTAAATTCGGTAAAAATTTTAATAAGTTTTATTTATTTATTTGTTATTATTATTATTATTTGGTTGTTGTATTATTATATTTTTTTTTATTTTGTTTAGTTGAAAGGTCATCAAATTTGCGTCCTCTAATAGTTTATAAGATTAGATTTAAGGGAAAAAGGAATGATTGTAATAATAAATGCAATAATAATTATTTTCTCTCTCTCTCTCTCTTTCTCTTTCTCTCTCTTACTCATTTGTTACTGATGATGATGATGATGCTGCGTAAAAGGTCGTAAAGGTCAAATAATAATGCGGCATCAAGATAAGAAAGAAGAGACGATCGAGACGATTGCTAAATCGTATTACAATCATTCTCATCATTTTATTATTATTATTATTATTAATAATAATAATTTAAATTAATAATAATAATAATAACGTTAACGATTTCTTTTTTTCGCGCCAAATTTTTTAAATTTAAATTTTAAAAAATAAGATGAGTCGAGTCAATTTTTTTTTTTTTTCTCAATTAAATTTTTCCGAGCTTAAAAACTTTTTGTCATCTCATTATTTTTTAAAGGTTTGATAAAAAAAAGGAAAATTCGTTAAAATCTTTTCTATTACGTCAATTCGACACGTGGTCTTCCACGTGGACTCGCTTCGTTAAACTTCTTCCTCCGTAATGATGATATTTTTATTAGGTCACGTTTGTAAAAAAAAAAAAATTAATAATTATTGAAATTAATGCCGGGGGAAAAACCTGACATTGACCTAATAAATACCTACAACCACAACCATCAAATAATAATAATAATAATAATAATAATAATAATAATAATAATAATAATAATCAGGTTGCATCGGGTCAAGAGCAAATCGTTAAATATTAATAATAATAATAATAATAATATTAATTTTAAAAAAAAGGAAAATTTATTTACGTTTACGTCTCCTTAATTTATTATTATTAATAATATTAATTACTTAATTATTGTAGTGATAATAATAATAATAATAATTAAACAAACATAACGAAAAGATTTTAACGATTTTTAATATATGAATGTCCCCCTCCCCTCCCCTCCCCCTCGAAAAAAAAAAACAAATTTATCCATTTTATTTAAATTATTTACATTTTTTTTTTTTTTTAAATGAATATATATTATCGATTAATAATTATAATAATAATAATAATGATAGGTTTTAATAAAATTAGGTAATTCGTAATCCTCGTAACGTCCAAAGTTTTATTATTATTATTATTATTATTATTATCATATATAATGTATTTATTATAATGACAACTCATCAGAGTTTGGCTGTAAAACTTTTTTCTTTTCTTTTAATTTTAATTCGAATTTTGACAATAATATTAATAATAATAATAATGATAATAATAGTTATTATTATTATTATTATCATAAACGATGACAATAATTAATGCTTTTTTATTCTCGTTCTCGTTTTTTTTTTTTTTTTGTAATTTGTATAAATTTTTATGTAATTAATTAAGTATTTAAATATTTTATCTCTCTATATATATATATATTTACATAAATTTATTAATGAATTATTAATTAATATACATAATTCTCTTTTTAATTGTAAAAAAATAAAAAAAAATCAATAAAAAATCAATAAAAAAAAAATGAAAAGGGAAAAACAAATCGAGCGATTCCTAAATAATTGTATTATAAATTTATTATTATTATTATTATTATTATTTTGTAGTAATTTTTCTTTTATATAATTAGAACAAATCAGAATTATTATTATTATTATTATTATTATTGTGATTTATGTTTAAAAAAAAATTGTTTAATTAATATTCATAACAAAAAAAAAATTATTGTAAAAGAAAATTTTTCTCTTATATAAATATATATATATATATTTATCATTATTATTATTTTTAACATGTCATTTAAATATTTGTAATAGAATAATAATAATAATAATAATAATAATATTCAAAGTGTTTATCTATATATATTTAAAATGTTTTTTTTTTTTGGATATTATAAAACGAAAAAAAAATTTTTTAATTAAGTAAAATAAGAAAAATTGTTTCAAAAGAAATAACGATTGTTTCAAAACACAAAAAAAAAAAACAAACAAAAATGGCGGTGGGGTTGGTTTGGTTTCCATGGTAACGTTAATAAATAGTTTTGTTTTGTTTTTTTTTTTTTTTGTATTAAACAGTTTGTTTTGTATTAATTTTTTTTTTTGTTTGTTTGTTTGTTTTGGGAAAAAAAGGAATAATAATAATAATAATAATAACGTTTAGAATAGATAATATGTCATTGAAAAATAAAAAATCAAAAAATTTAACAAATAATAATAATAATAATAATAAAAGTTGTTTTGAAACAAATCAAAAATTGTTAAAATTAGAAAGTCCGAAAAAATCACGTTCGGAGATATTGGGGACGTCGTCAATGATAAAAAATCGTCAAAAAACAAATAAATCGTCTGTTATAAAAGAAAGTAAATCGAAAAATTCAATAAATAATTACGATTATGAAAATTTATCATCCATATTTAATAATTTAGATGTCGGTGGCGGTTGTTTACCAAACGATGAAGAATTAGGTATCGCATTTGATAAATTTTGGGATTCCGTTAAAACAGGTTTGGAAAAAAATTGTACATTGTTAGGTCCGGACACGACGTCGATAGATTCAAAAATGTCACAAATACATAATAGAATAATGTACAATCAAGAAATATTAAAATCCGCAAATGAAAAATTAAAAAGTATTAATTTTCAAACGGAAAAGCAAAATTTTAACATGTGGAGAGATAATATGTATAAAAATAATTCAAATGAAAATGATGGGAGCAATAGTAGAAAAATCGATATAAAAGCATTAGATTTAGAAATAGAAAAATTAAAACGTAGAAAATCGGATAAAAATGTTTTTTTAAAATCAAGTCCGGGAGTATCGAATTTTCATAAAACAATGGAAACGACATTAAACATGTTGGATAAAATTCAAAACGTTAACGAATTTCAAGATAATAATTACGATTCGAATATAAATGATATTAAAAATGATTTTCATTTAAGTTATATTAAATCTCCGGATGTGATTGCAGTGTCTGACGAAGAATAGTGTGTTTGTTAGTTAGTGCCACGACACTTTTTTATTTATTTATTTATTATTTATTCGTTATAAACTTTTTTTTCCTTTTTATATTAAACTTTTATAATTTTTTTTAACTGCATTTTTTTAAATACTTATTATTATTATTATTTATACTAGATGAATTTATGTTAATTTATAAAAAGAAAATAATTCAAACGATTCGAAAAAAGGTAAATTTTTTATTTAAATTTTTTTAATTACAAGGTGATGGTATACAGGTGGTGGGACAACCTTAAATAACCTTTTATCTTATCAACTTCTTGCAGTAGATGATTTTGTGATAGATAATTTCATTTTCCATATCTGGTAGCTCTTCTTCGTCTGGGAAAGGAAATATTTATATTTTAAAATCATTAAATTCATTTAAAAAACAAAAATCAAATATGAATTTTATTATTCTCTATAATTAATTAAAGTAATAATAATAATTAAATAATTTGTGACGTAGTCAATGATAAATAATACAGAAAAGAAAGATAAAAAAATTACAAATTCTTACGAATGAAAAAAAAACAAATTATATTTTATTATTATTTTTATCGATAATAATAAACAATTGATGTTTTCTTATTTTTTTTTTTATCAATATGTAATTATTTTACTACAAAGATAATTGTTTTTACTTTTCTTTTAATTATTTAATATGTTGTAACTTTGACAAAAAATAAATAAATACTGTCGTTAAATATTAAATAATTAAATAACTTCAAATCGATTGAAGTAACAGTATTAAAAACCTGAACCTATCATCTCATACATATTATAATTATTTATTTAATATCCTAATCGATCAATGGTGAAATCATTATTATTATTATTAAGTAGATAATAATAATTTTACTTGGGTTGTAATATCGACATGAGTTCTCCATTCTTGTGTAGTTCCTGAATAATATCCAATCCACCGACAAGTTCACCTTTGACATATACTTGAGGATATGTAGGCCAGTTTGAATATTTTTTCAAACCTTGACGAACATCTTCATCGTTTAATATGTCAAATGTTTGATAAGGAACTCTGAAGAAATTTAAAAATTTTTTTTACTATTAAATTACAAAGAAAAAAAATTCAATTGCGAAGGGAATAATTATTACCTTGTCTCATTCATAATTCCGATTAATGTTCTACTAAATCCACATCTAGGATTAGATGGATTTCCTTTCATAAAAATCATGACGTCTGCTAAATTAATTAACATTTTTAATCTGTTATCTAAAGAATCTCCGACTGGTTTGATATTGGTCGATAGAGATATTGGGCTTATTTTAGCAATGTTACTTAATTTGGTCATTAATTCAGCAGGATTGGCTCCGTTTACAGTCTCTGCTAGTACACCATCTTTAAATATTAATATGGTTGGAACTGCAGAGATTTTATATAGAACTGAAACTTCGGGAACAACTTCTGCTTCGATTTTGGCAAAATGAATTTTTTTATAATGATCTAATTTAGCCATTTCATCCAAAACTGAATTCATTGGAGCACACTGACTAGCCCATTCAGCATAAAAGTTGACAATGACATAAGGATATTTTCTAAAAAAAAAAGTTAAATAAATAAAGTTTGGAAAAAAAAATGTGTTTTAATTGATATAATTATGACTAATTGTTAGAAAATAAGTAGTAATGACAAAGTAAGGTTATGTTTTTTTTTTTTTTTAACATGTTAAATTAATTTTAAATTATATTATAATATTTACCCTATAATCCCTTCAAATTCATTTTTACTAACAATTTTAGTTACAGTCATTTTACTTTTTTTTTTTTTCTTTTTTTTTTATTTTATTTTTTTTTTAAAATTTTACGTGAAGGTGATTTATTTAACCAAAACTAAAATTAATACCTAATACGATGTTCACTCCCACCGCCTCCTCGAATAAACAACAAACAATGGAATGTATTACCGTTGAATTCAAAATTATTCGATTTTGTGATTTGAAAAAAAATTTTTTTTTTTTGTTTTTACCGGAAAAATAAATGAAATTTGTAAAAGTATTTATAAATATGTAATTCATGATAGAATTTATTTTAATATTTTGAAAACGAATACAATAATTGCTCCTTCGAAATGTTTTCTTTTTAAATGTAGAAGTTTTTTTTTTACACTAAACAAATTTAAAATTTGAATGAATTTTTTTTTAACGTTTTAGATAAAGTAGTCTATCATTAAATTTTTATTATTGTAGGTTTTATGAAAGAATTTTTCGTTTGGTTAGATAAAATTATTTGAATTCATTATTATTTACTTAAACGAACAACAAATATTTGATTTTGTAAATCTTTTTAATACTAGTGTAACGAGTATCGTTTTTTGAAAAAATTATTACTTCATTTCAAATTTACGATAAAGGTACTGTATTTTTCTTCTATTTTTAACGTTTTAAAATATATAAAAAAAAAAAAAAGAAATTTCCAGAAATAATGAAATAATGATCTGTCTATCATTATCCAATCCCTATGTATTTTTCCACATGGTATGAAAGGGTCAAAATGGCAGACAGGTCATTTTAAAACCAAGGGTGCATTCAAAAAAAATGTCTTGATTATCAATAAATAATTTTAAGTTTTTCAACAACCCCTCGATGGTTGGTTTTATTTTATGTAATTATGTTGTTTATTAAATTAATTAAAAATACTCATTTGATAATTTCTAAAGTTGATAATAATCATGATGGAGACTTTGAATACACAACATGTTGCAAAATTTTTTTGAGAAACATTTTGAAAATTAATTTAGAAAATATTTTCTATTTTAGCTTAAAACAATAAAATAATTTCATACATTGTTATATTTATGTTTTAGAAAGTGTTTTGGAGTGTAAAAATAACCTTTTCAAATTTTCATTCAAAATGGCATCAACAAACAAAGGTTCTGAGTGAGTATTTCAATTTATTTTTTTTTTTTATCAATAAAATTTTATTTTTAAATTCAAGTTTTAACTTTTTAATTTGATAAGGTAATAGAAAAATTGTAAATTTTTTTTTTTTTTTAATAAATATTCAATCAAACCATGTCAAACATGTCAGTCACACTTAATGACAGCCCCTCTTAAATAATCATTAAAATTTAATTAAAAGATGTGTTTCTTATCAGTATTATTATGATTTCAGTCATAAGAACAATAAATATATATATTTTATATTTTAGTAAACGATATTTATTTACGACAAATGGAGGATATCGAAGATGGGAAAGAAAATGATAAAATTGATGAACGTCGTGGAAAATCATGGTTTTCAGAAGACAACAATACAACAAACGAACAATCACAAACGAATCCTTTACGTTTAATTTATTCTGTCGATGATGATCCATCTTTGGGTATGTCATTCTTATTGGGTCTTCAGGTGAGAGAAACAAATTTTTTAATAAAAATTATTTTCAAACATTATTATAACTTTAATGCAAGACAAAAACATTTCAGCTAACATTATCATTATTATTATCACAAGACAAAACGAATAGAGCAGATTTTAAAAAAAAGAAAATTTCAATTATTATTATTATTATTTGAAGTAACCGGAAGTATAAATGAAGATTAAGAAAAAAAATTAAATTAGATTTAAAATCTTTTAATTATTAATGACCTCTTTTTGTTTTTTTTTTTTATTAAAAAAAAAAAATATTTAAAAACAACACAAAGAAGAAGACGTGATCTAACATAATCAATAATAATAATAATAATTCTTAGAAATATAATAATAATAATAATAATAATTGTAAATCAATAATTTTACTCAAAATGTTTTGGTTGTTGTTGTTGTTGTTGTTGATGGAAATGATTGTTTTGATAGATAATATTTATATGAACCTTTAAAACAAGTTCATGTTTGTTATTATTAATTTTTATTGTTGAAAATTAATAATAATAATAATAATTGAATTTATTTTAAACGGTTGTTGCGCTTAACAATAAATAAACGCGCCTTAAATAATAATATTTACTTATATATAAAAACAGTATTATCAGTAATTTTAAAATGATGGATGGATGCGTATGGACCGAATAAATAAAAATAAAAAGGTCAAATTTTTAAAAGACTATCACACACACACAAAAATTTGAGATTTACCCTTTGAACATGTTACTAAATAATTAAATAAAAATAATTTTGTTTTTAATAATTATTTTCAGCAATATTTAACAACTGTCGGTGGTATATTTTCAATACCTTTTCTATTATGTCCGGCATTATGTATTTTAAACGAGGATCCAAGTCGTGGTTACATAATGTCAACAATATTTATTATATCCGGTATAGCAACGCTTTTGCAGACGACTTTTGGCGTTCGGTAAGTTATTTTTAATTTTTTTTTTTTGTTAATCTCACGCTAAAAAAATTTTTTTTTGCATTATTAGGTTACCCATAATTCAGGGATCCAGCATAACGTACGTAGCTTGCACACTTGCCATATTGAATCTTCCTCGGTGGGAATGTCCCAATAAGGGGGATTTATATGCCATGGGACATGAAAACAGATCGGAAGAATGGATGATGAGAATGAGAGAAATACAAGGAGCTGTAATTGTTGCATCTTTAGCAGAAGTTGTCGTTGGATACTTGGGTAAATTGTTCAAGAACCTTCAAGTACCTGAAAAATTGAAAAATTGTTTAAACATAATTTTTGTCTTTTGTAGGTTTGGTCGGAATTATCCTTCGCTATATAACGCCATTAACAGTAACTTCAACCATAACCTTAGTGGGTTTGTCATTAGTGAGTCACGGTATAGAACTATCGTCGGGAAATTGGTACATTTCACTGACGTAAGCAATATGCTTTTTAATAGTTTTTCCGATTGAGAAATCAAAACGCTCTTTAAATTTTTTTTTTTCATTCTTTTAGAACCGTTGCTTTACTCGCCATTTTTTCACAATATCTTCGAAACGTTAATACAAAGTTACCAATTTACACTCTCGTCAAAGGATGGCATTTGATTAACATAAAAGGATTTCAATTGTTTCCCGTTCTCCTTACGACGATAATCGTTTATTTTATTTGTTATTTATTGACTCGATTTGATTTGTTGGATGATATCGATCCGGCGAGAATCGATGGAAACATAAATATTATCGATAATACCGATTGGTTTAGAGCACCCTATCCATGTAAGTTATAGTTTTATACTTTATTGAAAAGAAATTTTTTTTTACTTTTGAATTTTTTTTTTTTTTGTTACAGTTCAATGGGGATGGCCAACATTTACAATTTCATCAATTTTTGCCATGTTTACAGCTGTTTTAGTTGGTATCATTGAATCCGTTGGTGATTATTATGCATGTGCTAGAATATGCGGTAAGGAAAATAAACAATCATGCTGAGAAGACATCAAAAGGAAAATTTACATTTAAATTTTTTTTTTTTTTTTTTTTTTTTTCCAGGACAACCAACACCACCGATTCCAGCCATTAACAGAGGTATCGGAACGGAAGGTTTTTCATGTATTTTGGCTGGATGTATGGGTATCGGTACGGGTGTCACAAGTTTTAGTGAAAATATCGGTGCCATTGGAGTAACACGAGTAAAAAATTAATAAGAAAATGTAAAAATTAATTTTTTTTTTTTTATTATTACGTCATCAAAATTTTTTTTTTTTTTTCGTAGGTGGGAAGTAGAAAAGTAATACAATGCGGTGCGATAATAATGATAATATTAGCTTTTTTCGGTAAAGTAGCTGCGACATTTTCAACAATACCGACTCCGGTTGTGGGTGGATTACTTTGCGTTTTATTTTCTATCATCACAGCCGGGGGTAAGTTTTAAAAAAAAAAAAGATTTTTTATCCAAAAAAATTTTTTGCCCAAAACCAAATCCTTGTTTGATTATCATTTCAGGTTTAACGAATCTCTCTTACGTAAATATGTCATCGACGAGGAATATGTTTGTTTTAGGTTCATCTTTATTTTTCGGAATTGTAAGTTTATCAAATGTCGAAAACATTTTCGAAAACTCTATTAATTAAAACGTTTTGATTTTAGGGTTTGCCACAATATTTAAAACATAATGAAGAAATATTTTTAATTACCGGATTTTTACCATTGGATCAATTAGTCAGAATACTTTTATCAACGCCGATGTTTATCGGAGGTTTTATAGGGTTTATTTTAGATAATACAATACCAGGTAAAAAAAAAAAAAAAAAAAATTATTATAATTAAATTGTAATTTAATTTTTAATATGTGATCGTTATTTAAACAAAAGGTACACCGGAAGAAAAAGGGATTTTAGAATGGAAAAAAGAGAAAAATTTAAGCGGTAACGAAAGTGCGGATAGTACTCAAAGTAAAATTTATAAACTACCAAAATTTAAATTTTATACTTTTAAAAAATTTAAAGAGGAAGTGACGTCACTTTTAAGAAGATCAAAATGACAAATAATTTATTTTTTTTTTTTTACATTTTTAAACGTTTTTTTTTTTTTTTAATAAATTTATTTTTATCAATTAAAAAAAAAAAAAAAAAAAAAATTTTACATTAAAATTTTTATTAAAATTGATTTGTTTATATTTACATTCGTGAATAGGAAATAGATTGTTTATTTTTTTAAAAACTTATTATGTTTTAAATATATGTGTTTAAATAAGGAAAAATATATTTATTTTTATAAATTTTTAATTAAATTTAATAAAAATTATTTAATCCTGTATTTTTTTTTTTCAACAAGAAAGTAAATTAATTATTTAATAATAATAAAAATAAAAAATAAAAAGATTTTTTAGAACAGAAGTGACATCTATCGGTTTTAAAAAAAATTAAATTGTTTAAATATATCGCGCCATTTCTCGAAGAAAACAAAATGGCGTCAAATGGTTTTGAGAAATCAGTGTGTGTTACAAAAGTTTTATTAAAAATGTGTTTTTTTTTTTCGTTTAAGTGAATATTAGTTATGAATTATGTGTTTAATAATGTTCTTTAATCGATTTTTAATAAAAAATGGATAATTCAAAACGGTAAGTGCATAATTTTTTCAAATTATATAAGTGAGTAAAAAACAAGAAAACAAAAGCCTTCAGTACAAACTTAAATTGCCAAAATATTTTTATTAGTTATTATTATTTGTTTAATATCGATATTATTCAACATTTTAATAATCAAATAGTAATAATTGCAAATTGTAAAATGTTCAAAAACCAAAATTTCAAAAAATTTGTTAAATTGAACTTGTGTGAGGAAGGGGATTAGGATAAAATTTCTTTTGTTCAATTTACATAAAAAAATTTTTATTAAATAAAATAAAATAAAACATCTTTGATACCATAGTAAATGGCTGATTACTATGATACATAAGATTTAACAAATAATAAATTCAAAAATAATAATAATTAATTTGGAAATGTAAAACAAAAATTAACAAAAATGTATGTAAAACAACATAAACTTGAGTACATATATATATAGAAAAAGGGAAAACTCAATAACAAAAGTATAATTTAATGGTAATATATATAAAAAAAATTAAAAATGATATTGATTTAGTATATATTATGATTAATATGTTTTATGACAAACATGAGGTTTTTGACAATCATTCATGGCCCTAATGATATTTGTAGGAAGAGTCATTTACTTATATGACTCTAACCTAACCTCACCTGAAAGAAAAAAAAATAAGGTAAAACCAAACCTTTGGCAAATTATTATTTAAAAAGGTATAAAATCTTACTTTTAAATTAAACCTTTGAGCAGGACTTTTTCCAACCACAAAGAAAAGTTTTTGTACAAGATGAGTAGCCACAACTAAACAAAAAAAA